TCTGAATTCTAACTAAGTGTGCAAGAAATGTATCTCAAGAAATGTGTTTTAACAGGAAGTCTTTCCATAATAATCAGTTATGCACATCATACCTCAGGAATCCGGTATTCTGATTCATGATCTGGAATATAATCATTATAGAACTAATAATTGGTGTTATACACGGTGCTTAAACTGCTTTTGATTAATAGTACAAACCTTAAAAGGCATGTTTCAGTTTTATTCTAATTGCCATATTTATTTATTTTTTTTTTACTATGTATTTACTGTACACTGCTATTAAATTACTATATTGTTTAAAAGTTTAGGGTCTGTAAGTTTTTTTTTTTTTTTTTTCCCTATTAATACTTTAACAACCATTTATTGAAATGCTCAAAAGTGACATTTATAATATTACAGATTTATAGAAATAAGATTTCCGCCTGAAAAAATTTACCATAATTTCTACAAAAATATTAAGCTGCACAACTCTTTTCAACATTGATAATTGATAATTTCAATTTCTGAAGGATCATGTGACACTGAAGACTGATGTAATGATGCTGAAAATTCAGCATCATTGTATAAAGAATGAATAAATGACTTTAAGTCATACGTTATATTAAACTAAAAAAAATTTTTTTTTAAATGATAATATTTCACAATAAAATAAATGTAGCCTTGGTGATCATAAGAGACTTCTTTCAATAAAAACCCCCAAACTTTCAAATGATGAAGTCAATGTGAGGACCATTAAGAGATGTAAAGGGGCAAGAACTACAACTACAATTCATATCTGAGTGTGTTTGTTTTTTCTGCCTCTCACATGACCTTTGACCCCTGTAGTCTCGAGAGCTGGAGATTGCAGTGTACTGGCGAGACTGGAGGTCCCTGTGTGCCGTGAAGTTCTTGCGTTTAGAAGATTTCCTAGACAACCAGCGGCATGGCATGTGTCTTTATCTAGAGCCGCAGGGCACACTGTTCACAGAGGTGAGAGAGCCTCTCAACACCTTCATCCTAGTGCAACACAGAGCCAAGTGTGGTTACAGTTTACATCAGCTATGTATTTCATTTAGGACTTTCTGCAGAGGTTGATGCATAATACATGGACACATAATGCATATAGTGAGCTGTTTATAATGCGGTTTGGTTTCAGGTGAGATTCAACAATCCTGTCATTGAGCGGCATCCTAAACTACAACGACAGAAACGAATTTTCCCAAAAGAAAAAGGTGTGCTTGACCTCTCATTTTCTCTGTTGTCGTCTTCATAGAGGGACTACGACTCATAAGCGATTACTATAATTTCTCTCATAATCACTTGATCGCTTTTAAACCTAAATAACATTATGGAGCTATTAACATGAGATGTGCTTTGTAGTTCAGCATTAAAAGAAATATGTTTCAGACTAATGCGTCATATTTGTATATTAAATAGCTGATTTAATGTCTCAGGGAAAAATTTCCTGCGGGCAGCACAGATGAATATGAACTTTGCCACTTGGGGGCGTCTAATGATGAGCGTGCTGCCCCCATGCAACAGCACGGTCACTGCCTTGAGCCCCCCTCTGCCTGGTTCTGAGCCCATGTCCCCTCCATCTGCGTCCACGCCCCCTTCCTCTGGGTGAGACATACACCGGTGTCCCTGGGGTTTGGTTGAGGAAAATATATCCATTAATCTGAATAAAAAGTGATTCTCTTTCTGTGTTGTGGCTGTTTATCGCAGAGACGCGGCAGTTGTTAAACTGAATTTCAGTGAGGAGCGTCCTGCCAAGCCCCCGCGCCTCCACTTGGCACAGAACCCCACAACTGACGCATCACTTTCTGGGGTATGTCTTGCGGACAAACACTTGCTTTTTAATTTGTAGTTCTGTATTGCTCTGGTCAAGTTAAAGTTGTAATTATGTGTTTTGGGACTTGTTTCCCAGACTCTTGCCAGAGTGAATTCATCTGAGGATAACCAAGTTCTCAAAGGCAAGACTGTATCCCAGCCTACACCTCAGTAAGTCAATATAGTATTTATTAGTGCTGTTATTATTAAATCTAAGACTTAAGGGTTTTGAATCATCCCTAACCTCTTAGGTCTTAAATTTCAACCTGTGACCTGTCCTACATCTTTTGATAGTGAAATAAATCTGGATTCTCTTTCCTGTAATAGCTCTTTTTCTCAGTCTCACTGTATGTTGTATATATCCTGTTTCACAGGAGGAAAGAGGGGATGCAGATGGAGGACTTCAACTGCATTTCTGTTTTAGGAAGAGGGCACTTTGGAAAGGTAAAACTGCAGCTGTCCTTCAGTACTGTAATCAGATGACTCTGAATGGTGCTGTTGACTCAATGTCATTGTCGACTCTCATTAAAGGTCCTGCTGGCTGAATTCAAAAGGACTGGGAAACTTTATGCCATCAAAGCACTGAAGAAAGGGGATGTTGTGACCCGGGATGAAGTGGACAGGTGATGTTCTGTATCTCTGTGTCAGAAATGTCTTCCTGTGCATCACGAATGGGTTATGGATAATTTGTTGTCTGTTGATATTTATTTTTGCAAAGCACTAACATGGTTTAATGGGTCTGCATGAAAACCATAAAAGAACTAAATATTATAGTCACATTTTATATATATTTTTTTATCAAGGGGCCGCTTGTAAGGGTGTTATGTTTGTGGGTCCTTGGAATTGAAAAAATGTGGGTCCTTGGAACTGACAAGAGTGAACACTTCCAACTGTATTTGGCTTGTATTATATTGTGAATTAATTTCATTTTTTTTTATAGTTTAATGTGTGAGAAGAGAATTTTTGAGACCATCAATATGTCCCGTCATCCTTTCCTGGTGAACCTGTGTGGGTGCTTCCAGACGCCTGACCATGTGTGTTTTGTGATGGAGTATTCACCTGGAGGAGACCTGATGACCCACATTCATAACAGCATCTTCTCTGAACGGCAGGCTAGGTACTCGCTCTCTCTCTCACTCTCACACACACACACACACACACACACACAGTGTCCGCATTTACGTAAGTGCTACACGTTTTCAGATGCACATGCTGAATTTTTTTAGCATTGTATATTTTTGCCAATGACACTTTCCTCTGGATGTGACTGTAAACCGAGGATTTTTCTGGCAGGTTTTATTCTGCATGTGTATTACTAGGCCTGGAGTTCCTGCACCAAAACCGGATTGTATATAGGTATATTATATATAACTACACTATTACTTCTAATATTACTTGACGATTACTAAATTCCCTATTATATGCGTGTATGAAATAATGCATATGATTTTATGGACGATTTCTCTCTTTCCTCCTTGTAGGGACCTAAAGCTGGACAATCTGTTAATGGATTCTGATGGTTTCGTGAGAATTGCAGATTTTGGACTTTGCAAAGAAGGTACATTCTAAGAATACCATTTCTCCTGTGGAACATTTTTTGTTTGTTGATCTCAAATAGTATTTGAGCAGAGAGTCAACAAAGTCTTGCTGCCAATCAGGTATGGGACATGGCGACCGTACGTCAACCTTTTGTGGCACCCCAGAGTTCCTGGCCCCGGAGGTTTTGACGGACAGCATGTACACCCGTGCAGTGGACTGGTGGGGTTTGGGTGTGCTCATTTATGAGATGCTAGTGGGAGAGGTCAGTCCTGGTCAAATACAGCTTTACTAAATTGTTGCCATATACTGTAATATTGTTCATGCATATTTAAATGTGCCCTCCACTTGTTCCAAACCTGTATGAGTTTCTTTCTTCTGTTGAACACAAAAGAAGATATTCTGAAAATAAATGTTGGTATCTGAACAGTTGATGAGCATCATTGACTTCCATAGTAGGAAAAAAATAACTGTTCAGATACCAACATTTATTTTCAGAATATCTTCTTTTGTGTTCAACAGAAGAAAGAAACTCAATACAGGTTTGGAACAAGTGGAGGATGAGTAAATGATGACAGAATTTTCATCCTGGAAGTGAACTACTCCTTTAATTGAAATTTGAATAACATTTCACAATATTGTGGTTTTTACAATTTTTCTGGTCAAATAAATGCAGTCTTGGTGAGCATAAGAGACTTCTTTCAAAAGCATTAAGAAATCTTATCCTTTGTGGCTGCCAGTCTCCATTCCCCGGTGATGATGAGGAGGAGGTGTTTGACAGCATAGTGAACGATGAAGTGCGCTACCCAAGGTTTATGTCCCCTGAGTCAGTCTCTATAATACAAAAGGTAAGCACTTATCCCTCTTGGAGAAAAACAAATTGAAATTGAACTGAAACTCCATCTGACTCGGTCTCTTTAATGGCAGTTGTTGCAGAAGAACCCTGAAAAACGACTGGGAGCAGGAGAGCAAGATGCCAATGAAGTGAAGAGACACCGGTTCTTCCAGGTGACGGTCACTAACTGAATAATTTGTGACTACCTCAGTGAAGCTTCTTTTAAATTCTCTTTTTAAAAGCCTTGTTCCTCTCTGCAGGGCATAGATTGGGAAGCCCTGTTGGCCAAAAGAGTCAAACCTCCTTTCCTGCCGTCAATTAAAGCCCCAGCAGACGTCAGTAACTTCGACGAGGAGTTCACTCGCCTGAAGCCTGTCCTGACCCCTCCGCAGACCCCGTTCTTCCTCACCGCCGAGCAGCAGGAGTTTTTTGCAGACTTTGACTTCTCTGCCCTGCAGTGACTTCCACTCGATTACCCTCGAAAAGGGTTGTGACATATCAAATCACTGCTTTCTTTTCTCTCTGTCTTCTTTATCCAGTTATTCTCTCTCTCTCTTGTTCTCCCTTGAGATATGCAGTCGAATCAAGTGAAGCTGGCCTCGTGTCACCCTTTAAAAGCTGCTGTACGCTGTTCATGAAACTGGCTGCAAATGTGTGCTTAAGCTCCAAAGACAGTCCTGATTGGACCATATGATCACCCCTGAACTGTGCGCCCACCACTGTGAGTAAGCTCAGATATGCTCTGCTTTTAACTGCCCATCCCTGATATTCATACAGTTAAGATACATGTATGTTTTTGGGTTGGGTTATACTGTTTATCATGTCAGTCTGACCAGCTGTTTAAAAAAAAAGAAAAAAAGAGTAGTCTTCCTGTTACAATGAATTATGATGCCAAAATATACTTGCACTGTTGCTGAACAGATAATGATTGTCAGATTTAGATGGAAGGACTGAATGCTGTGCCATTTTTAAGGATTTCTGATGTAGCGTAGATCCAAGCGATACATGCGGCTGGAGCGTCTTAAGCTCCTTAAGTTCCAGACTGTAACTATCGGCGTGCATTCTCGGTGTTAGATCATGCAGATTCCTCCACACTTGGTCTGTGTGATGTATGTTCATGTTAAACCCTCACATTTTGATCTCTGGTTGTCCCTAATCTGGATTTGATTTGGGATTGGTGCCCCAGATAAATGTTGCTTGTTGATCAGTTCTCAACTTTCCAAAAGGAGCTCTTTACTGTACTTGCAGACATCTTGTGACTTTCGATTGCAAACAGTGACTTGCTCTATCCCGCCTTTCTCTTTATAGCCCTCCTCTGGACAAATCTAATACTACTGAATTAGACCAAGCATATTCTACTCGGTCTTAGCATGATGCGGTTAGCACATTAACTCACTAAGCTGATATTTAAATATTGATATTTTGCTCTCTGTGTCATGTTACAGAAGCTTATTATGTTGTTCGTTATTTAAGGTGTTTGTCTGTATTTTACTTTTGACTAGATCATTGTATCACTGTAAATGTGGTTTACTAATAAGTTACACTGTGAACGAAATGACACTAAAATATTTAAATGAAACTTGCCGTTTCTATGAGCCACATGAAGGACAAATAAATATCTAAGTAAATGTAATCGAACGGGATGAATGTATTTTCAGAAATAAAATACAATGTGACCATGTTGTTCCATTTATTGAATACTGATGTTTCAAAATATTACATTGAGAAAAAAAATTGCATAACTTTGATCAAAACGGCACAAATCATTCATGAAATCTCAGCATTCATATTGATACGTTAAAAACACTCAAGTGCAAAAGTTAAGGAAACAATTTAAAGAAATTGAAATGAAGTAAAAGCAAAAACAATTATTGCTTTTTATGACTATATTATTCAGAAAAAAGTCTAATGTTTGGTAAAAGTCACACTATGTGGACTTCATTGTACTGCATTCATCAACAAAACTACTTTTCTGGCAGTCCGAAATGTAACCGAGATCTAACAGTGTCGCATGCACTTACATCTTTCTCTCTTTAAGATGCTGATGTGTAATAGGAAAGGCCCTTTTTATATAAAAATATATAGTTTTTCACCAAAAAACAATGTCTGTAATGTTGACCATTACAGTATTGATTGTTTGTATTCTAAATTCAGTCTTTCGATGTTAATTTCTTATGTATTGATTATGTCTAGATAAACCAGAACATTTAATATTATAAAGTCACATTACAAGCATAAGGAAATTTCACCAATGATTTATAAAGTGCTATAGGAAATTATTTGCATTATAAACATGAACTTCTCATTACCCTGTTTGAAATGGATCTAAAAAGGGGATGTCTATTTTCTAAAAAATAAAAATAAGTATATACAACTACTTCACAATAATTGCACAAAATGATTGCTGATGTAACAGTACATCATCATCTGCTGCTATACAATAAGCTGACAGACTGTCTAGCTCAATTACTTTTGTCCAACAGCTTTTTAGTACCATGAAAGAGATTAGAGGAGCAGAGCCAAGTTAATAAATAATTAGCATATACCATTTTGATATCTCTATGTATTGCATTAATGGGACACCACAAATCAGCTCTGAAGAACGCTATTGTGCTTTTGTGCTTTTTGTTCTGCGTTTGCTATTAAAATGTGCAAAATCAGCACAGACGAATTGTTAAAAGTTCTATGTGGGCAAAATATTCACAAAACACTTTAATAAAAATGCTCATTCCAACCTATTTGATAACGCTTGATCAAACATCATTGCAACTACAAAGTTCATGCATTTAAGAATCACTTTCAAAATGGAATGGGAGAAGTAGATTAGAAGGAAGGAGAAGTAGATTAGATGTTCTGCAGCTGCAGTTAGGAGCGATTTCCACCAAAACATCGATTTCCATCTAATGGGTTTTTTGTCACAGCAGTCGTGACTCCAAGGAAATTAAATCGTATCGTTGCCTTGCTTGAAATACACATGCTCCCAAACCACCGGTTCCCAAATGCAGAAGAAGCTCCAGAGATTGCGCAGGATTCCGCGGTCAAAAGGGTTTTCGTCCGCACCGCAGTGCTTGAGGTAAGAGATTCTGTGTCGAGACATGAACTCCCATGTGGTGGTATTCAGGGACACCAGGTACAGGTGAGACCCCAGGAGGAGAAGCACGGTCAGGGACAGGACAGCCACCGCCGCCGCTGCTCCCAGGAGCACACAGTTGGTCCTCAACCACAGCTGCCAGGTGGGAGCGTGACTGAAGCCGGACCTGTACGAGATTTAACAGTACACTCTGAACTGTGAGTCCAGATGAAAGATATTTGTTTCTGAGGGCTTTAATCTTGATGGTTTGAGAACACCTTTTAGAGTTGGGAACTAATACATTTAGGACTATTATGTCCATTGGCACTGCTGGACATCCCAGGTTATGATGTGTAAGTATTACTACTCACCAGGCCATGTACAGTCCCCACAGTAAGACAACAAGCTGGACAGCCAGATAAAGCACAAACCAGCGGTGGTTTCTCTCCCCGACGCAGTTCTCTATCCAGGGGCAGTGATGATCATAGCGCCGCACACAGTGCCGACACGTCTGGCAGTGTTTGGATCTCATGGGTTGCTATGTCAAAGTGTGGATTCATTTTTAGAAGGGATTCATTATTAGAAACGAACAAACTAAGCTGTCTTGCCTGTACATGAATATATCAAGGTCAAATGAAATGATTTAAACCTCTATATTTATGCATATAGTCCATCTTTAGTAAGTGACAGCGCACCTGTACCAGACAGTGTCCGCAGCGCCGCAGCCGTATGGACTTGGTGGTCTGTGGAATCATATCCTGCGTTTCTTCTGCGATACCAAGTGAGAACTGAAATACAGTCAGATGATGCATGTTTGCTGTAAAATCAGCGTTAAACTTGCAAACTGCAGGGGGTTTGTGAGCTGATAAAGCTAATAAATCATAAAAATGGGGAAAATAAATGATATATATATCAATATAATAAATAATTCATATATATATATATATATATATTACTTTGATCAAAAATAATCTTACAAAATGGAATTACTTTTGATCAAATGAATCAGTGAAACGGAGTTATCATAATATCACCCCCACAATGAGAAATCACATGAAATCCAAACAGCAGTCGACCGAGGAAAGACAGCTGTCCATCACTGCATTCAGCAGAATGAGGGGTGGCACTAAGCTCGCCACCAGGTACGCAATTGAACATTTGCTGAGGGGTATGCAAGATCAGTGTCATCACCTTTGTGTACTCTATTTCAGCGAAATGTGACTGGTTGAGCTGTCCTCAGTTTAATGCTTTTGTTTGTTTGTTTGTCTTTTTCTGTTCTGCACCCCAGAACATTTATGAACAGATATGATTGTGTCTGTGACAATGTTGAAGGGTGAACTCATTTAAAATGTTAAACAAACAAACAAAAAACTTCTTTCTCCTTTGATTATTTTTAACCAATAAACGTTTGATTATTTATTTTATGAAAGAAGATTTTCATGGAATGATTGCGGCAAAATGTAAGAACGTAAGAGCCCTTGAACAGATCTTATAATAGTAATAAAAAATTTGAAAAAACAAATTAATGTGTAATTTCCTTTTCTTTAAGTAAGGTGTGCATTAAATGATTTGCCAAGCTTAGGTTATCATTTTTCTTTCTGCAGCACAATTTTAGTTTGGAAGCATGAAACTAACAGTACATTTTCTTCAGTTATTCTATCAGTCATTAAATCAGATACAGATAGAAGCTCCTCTCCTCACTCCACTCTCATTGCACTCCGATCCCATTACTCTGCTTTAAGGTGGCAAAGCTCATTTTTAGGCCCCGGATCGCCACACTTGTGGACACGCCCCTCAACATAGGCCGACACAAGTGTATGTACGTCCCGTACTGTAATTGGCATGGTCTGCTTTAGTTTTTCCGTTTGCTCTGCTTGAGCTTGGATGCTTTTATTCATTATATATACACAGTGGTGTGAAAAAGTGTTGGCCCCCTTCCTGATTTCTTATTTTTTTGCATGTTTGTCACACTTTAATGTTTCAGATCATCAAACTAATTTAAATATTACACAAAGATAATGCAAGTAAATACAAAATGCAGTTTTTAAATTATTATTTCATTTATTAAGAGAAAAAAGCTGTCCAAACCTATGCGGCCCTACGTGAAAAATTAATTAACAACATTATTTAAGAAAGCCGAGTTAAATTTCACTAGCCACACGCAGGCCTGATTACTGCCAGACCTGTTGAATCAAGAAATCACTTAAATAGAACCTGTCTGACAAAATGAAGCATGCTTAAAGAGCAACACATCATGCCGCGATCTAAAGAAATTCAAGAACAGATGAGAATCAAAACAGTTGACATGTATCAGTCTGGAAAGGATTATAAAGCCATTTATAAGGCTTTGGGACTCCAGCAAACCATGGTCAGAGCCATTATCCACAAATTGAGAAAACTTGGAACAATGGTGAACCTTCCCAGGAGTTGCCGGCCAACCAAAATTACTCCAAGAGCACAACGACGACTCATCCAAGAGGTCATAAAAGAACCCAGAACAACATCTAAAGAACGTGTCAAGTGAGCTCCTACGCTAAATTCCAGAACAAGAATCATTTTAACCATAATATTTCACCCTAGCATTCAATTTTCTATGCTGCACATCTAATCCCGCAGACTATAGCATCGTAACGCAAGCGACGCGCGGTACTTCATTTCGATACTGTGTTTCTCTCGCTCTAATAAGCTTGTTGATTCCGTTCCGCTGCTTAGACGTGATCGGGTAGATGTCACGTTTCCTATTGGGCAGCTGTGGTCACGTGACGTCTCGGCGTCACATTTTTACCTCGCCAAAGTATGATACAAGTGGAGAGATTTCGCAGATTGCTGGGGGGTCTTTATTCTTTGTCATACTGCAAAAGAAAGAGTAGACTGTTATTATAAGTTATTATAAACCACACAACATCTTAGGTAAATTCCTTTTAGGCATATTCCTTTCAGGTCGAAAGTGATTGGATTCATAACAAGAATGAAAATTTCTAGACCATTTCCTGCTCTACATCTGGTGTAGTATAACTATAATACTTGAGGAAACTTGCAATGTAGCATTTACTGTACATTAAGTGATTTAGAAGACACTTTTAACCAAAACAATCTCTGGTAAAACATGATACTTATTTACCTGTTGTGACTTAATATTTTTCTACTGATTTAATAAATGGTATTTTGTGTTACCACCTATGTTTTGGGGGGATGGGTTTATCCTGCTCATCCAGGAAGTTTCCACCAGCTGCTAGTGCCCAGCGGTAATGTTGCGCTAACAAGGATCGGCGTGCTGTAGTTGGTGTGTCCAAAGGTGCCCCATCAGCATTTTTTAGGGGTGAGAATTCCTCCTCTCTCAACACCTCAAAGGCGACAAATGTGCTGCAAAAAAAACAAACAGATGATGGTGAGGAAGATGGCGATACCCGAATTTGTCCAAATTAACAGTAGCTGTAAAACATACTTTGAGAACTTAAAGACGTCAAAGACAAATTTCTCCATTTTGATGCCGTTGGGCTTGGTTGGTTTCACCAGGTTCCCTTCTCCATCCACAAATGGCACTTTCTTGATTGCCACATGCTGCTTCAGTTGACTTTCAAACTTTCTGCAGGGAAAAAGCATTGAAATAGGAATTATTTTGTACAAAGGGCTTTGTTTACAGTTTACAGAGTCAATATGTTGCTAATTCTTTAACAAATGCATTGATTCTGGGAGCATGTGCTTTTTAGGTTTAACCTTCTGACTAGGCAAACTGTTACATTTAGATTGTAGGTGTCCTTATACAGGTACAACTAATGTTGTACCTGTACATTGACAATAAAGAGAGCTACGGTGCATTTTAATTTTAACTTACTGTCACTGTTAAAAATTAATAAAATTCTGATATACAACATCCACCATGTTGTTACAGTTACCTACACTATTACACATGACCTACCAGAGTCAGTTGCCATTCATAAATCTTTTCATTTTGCCTCATGGGATAGTAAAGTGTCCATCGAATGCACACTTCCGAATGTTGGTGGAAGTTGTAGGTCATCCAGGTACTTTTCGCCTACTGTTTTTCAAAAACTATGAATTCGGACATACTACTCGTATTTTGATGTACTGTTTTTTTGCATATTATATAGTAGGGAAGTATTCGATTTCGGATGCAGATATTAGGGGTCAGATATTAATGCCATCTTCACCAAGATGTTATTAGATTGTTTACTGATCATTTTTTTATTGATTCTATTATATTACAACTAGGGATGCACTGATACCACTTTTTCCAGTACTCACCCGATACCGATACTTTTATTTTTGGTACTTGTCGATACAGAGTACCGATACCAATATTTTTATTGCATTTGTAAATTTTTGAAATATTGGGTACAGAAACCAAAAGTGTATGTATAATGTTAGGTTAACTTCATTTATCAAATAGATACAGTCAAACCAAAATTTATTCAGACACCTTCAACATTTCTCACATTATCACAGTTTATTCGCTATAGTTTAGAAAATGGTAATAAAATATGACAAGAACTCAGAGTTAAACTGTGTATGAACAAATTCAGCTTGATAATGTTAGATAACTTTGATAGAAAGGTATGTAATAGATTACAATCAACCAAAAATTATTCAGACAGCTGTTAGTATGACAGTATTTACACAACTATCAATACTTAGTCAGGCAACCCTTAGCCTTAATGACAGCCTGGAGTCTCCTGGGCATGCTGTCATCCAGCTTCATGAAAACCTCAACTTCAATTTTTTCCCAAAACTCTGTCTGAATAATTTTTTCGTCCCAAATTTTTTTGCCACCGTATGAAGAATTTTTGGGTATATTTTATCACAGTTTACTTTATTTTGCTGTCCTCACTTACATAAATTAACTATAGTGTCCTGCACCCACTAGTAAAAAAATATCAAAAATTCCAAAACATCACATTTTTGGTTTGACTGTATATCCTTCGGTTATTTTCACACTTAATTATGGCCATTAAAAAAAATGTTTTATAAGTTTTTGTTACTTTCACCATTCTTTTTTTTTGCTCTATGGTACATCATCTTTAATTTAATAGCATTAGAGCTGCTCCATTGCAGCGGCTCAGTACTGTAATCACGTGCTTTGCTGTAATAATACAGGGAACCACTCGTTATAAATCATAAATGATGTTTAGTGAATGCCCCATAAATGGTCGGATTTTTACGATTTAGTTTTAATCCAAATGATGCGTGTGCTAAGTGAGTGAACATCAAATATCACACATAATTGCGTGCGCTCTCTCTCTCTCTCTACCATTAAGTAACTTGTGCATTGTTTTACTTACTTGTTTATGACATATCCGACCGAACTACAAACTTTCCAGTGATGTCTGTGAGAAAGGTATATTCACTTGACAAGCTCAATCCACTCACGCACGCTCAATTTGTTTATCAGCTCGCGCACATCAGCTATACGGTTGTTAAATAATACTGAATGTTTAACATTATATTCATTGCATACATATACTTCATAGACATCCTTAATCTCTAATAACTCCATTCTGCTGTCTGTTGTTCTGTTGTCAGTGTTTCTTTGTCTGAATATGGCACTTATCACATGCTGTGTGGTATCAGCGTTTGGTATCGGGGCATTTTAACGAGTAGGAGTACGAGTACAGAAGCTCAGTATCGGGCCTGATACCGTGCATCCCTAATTACAACAGAACATGATAATTGTAATATAACAAAATATGGCCTTTATGGACAACGGAAAGTTGACTTAAGAAACACATAAATAATTGGGATTGTATATTAAAACTGTATATCGACCACATACTCAGCCACTTCCTTTAAGAATCCTCGGGTAAAGAAGTGGTTGCAGATGTTCCCAGCACTGAACAGGAGCTCTCCTCCTGGTCCTCGCAGCTCTGC